ACCCTTTAAAGGAAAGACCCCTGCGTAATCTCTCTCTCTCCCTCACTTCTCTTCCCCCCTCCCTCCCTTCCCTTGGGGCAGACATGTCCAGTCTCCCTCTAGTCTTCTGTCCTCTCTCTGTCTCTTTTCCTTTCCTTCCCTCCCGTTTCTAATAAAACTTCTCACTTAAACTCTGCCTGCCAGGCATTTTGTTCCTCTGCCTTAGTCACCCTCGCAGCCAAGGTTCCCCTTGTGCTTTAACATAACAGGCGGCACGCCTTCAATGGCCGAGATTCTGATTCTGCTTTTCCTTTATAAGCCATTGAAACAAGATTTCCAGTGCCTTCCCTCTTTATTACTGGTTCAGTTATTTTGTAGTTTTCAGCAGCAGGGTTTGGATTAAGTTATCCCAGGTGGAGAAATTCTTAGACGTATATTCTGGTTATAGTAGCCCAGATTAGTAAGACTCCAGCTTTTACTATTTATTTGCAAATTATTTTAATTTCTGACAGCACAGAGACATCTATAACACAGTTGAAAACAAACAGTGCTCATCGGGAGGTCAAGCAATCTGCTGTCAGCTTTAAACATGCCTAAAGAAGCAGTTAGAATCAGCAAGGGGAAAGTGCTGCTGCTATACTACATTTTAATTACTTTACACTAATGTAATTACATTGCATTGCAATATGCATGCATTTCTCATGCAAACTTGCACAAAATTATTCAGTCAGGCAGGAAAGTACCCAGTGTTTAGTTGCATTTAAATAAAAGTCTCAGATCAGGACAGGAGCTGCCACCAATTGGTCTGGGCCAAAATGTCAAAAGACATGCATCACAGAATTTACCGAGTTATACAGAGATCAGGTTAGGTTAAGTGAAGTGAAAACCCAGTCCTAGGGAAGGAAAGGGTTAGGGTAAGTAGTAGGGTGGGGATTGCTGGGAAGAATCACGGGTTTTTTGAGACCTAAACGTATTGTTTATTTGAGTACAGGTTATAGTTGAAAGGCCCAGCCCCCTGTTTTAGCAGCCACAACAGGCTTGACCTTGCCCCTCCTGTCCTACTCACTAGGAGGTCAGATGTCCTCCTCTTGGCAAGGAACCAATCAGAAGTTAGCTGGTTGGTCTGCTTTTCCAGCTCTGGGTGTGCTTTATGTACAAGTGCACAACAGTGACATGCAGAGCATAGCAACCTCCCTTGGAGGGCCTATAGACCAAAGCAACCAGTTGACCAATCAATACAGGACAGGTCGTCCAAGCCAGAAAGCACAACAATCCTGCAACTTGAGTACCCCTAGACACTCTCCTTATGCTATCTGATATATTCCCTGCCTCAGTTTCTCAGGGTCTTTTCTCCAGCCATCCTCCCTGATGGATGGGTGAAGGGCTCAAGCCAATGGAGTTCCTCATTAAACAACTGCAATAAAAGACTCTTTGCTTTTGCATCGAAATGGGCCTCTTGGTGATTTGGGGGTTCAGAATTTGGGCACAACAATAGTGTTATGAGCTGTAAGCATAATGTTTGTGTGGTTGGTTTGGTAATCTAAGGTCTAGCAGAGAATTTTTCAAGGTGACAAAAGTGTTACAGGGAGCTCAGTAGAGATAAGTCTGACACAGTTTATAGCCAATTGAAAGTCTTTATTCCAGGTGACTGGGGTTACACAGGTTATTTGTAGACCCAGGTATTTAGAGTAAGTACTTTTTAAATGGCAAAACCACATTCTGTGATGGAGAAGGAAGTTTTGTAAAGCAAGCAAGCAGTTTAACAGAAGTTAAGCAGTTAGCTAGAAGGGGAAGTTTGCAATCTTAATAGAAGCTAAATTACCTGGGGCATCTTGACCTTGAGTTCCTAGAATAGGGTTGAATAATTTCCCATGAGCTTCTCAATCAAGAAGATTCTTAGGGTTTCTATTTTTGTGAGGAGACACCACGACAATGACAACTCTTATAAAGGAAAACAATTGGGGCTAACTTACAGTTCAGAAGTTTAGTCCATTATTGTCACGGTGGGAAGCATGATGACATGCAGGCAGACATGGTGTTGGAGAAATAGCTGAGAGTTCTACATCTTTATCCACAGGCAGTAGGAGACTGAGCTATGCTAGGCATAGCTTGAGCATATAAGACCTTAAAGCCCACAGTGACATAATTCCAACAAGTCTACATCTACTCCAATAAAGTCATACCTCCTGCCTATGGGGCCATTCCTTTTCAAACCACCACAAATTCTAGTTAAGCATAAAATGGCCTCAGCAAGAATTACAAGATGGAGGAACCTCTGTACTGTGTTGCCCTGTCACATTACTAGTTGGCTAGTGGAGGTATATACAGATCACTTGAAATCTAGTTCTAGGCCAGCATGCACAAAGTAACAAGACCCTATAAGAAGTGAACCGAACTAAGAAATGTATGTTTTGTTATTTTTAAGGTGTAAGTAAGTAGAAATGAGGACTGCAATAGAAACAGATACTCCATTTTACTACATAGAAGTGTCACTGGTCATCTTGTTTGCTTGGCTCAATAGTCATATTGCATCTTCTATCTTGGGCCTTATGTTATGTAGCAAGCCCTGCCAACTTAGTCTTTAAAATGTGTAGAAACTCAAAAACACTTTTCATATGTCGTCTCTAAGGACATATTAGAAACTGGCTAAGCAAATCCAAAACCTGTAGGGCAGGCAGACTGGAATGGAAGATAACAGGTAGACTGTGCTCCAGGATTCGTCCACAACAAGCTGGGGAAGTAACAACATGAGCTGGAGCTGGGTGTGGTGGTGCACACTTTTAATCCCAGCACCTGGGAGACATGAGCCAACAGATCTCTGAGTTTAAGGCCAGCCTGGTCTACAGAGCAAGTACCAGGACAGCAAGGGCTACACAGAGGAAAGCCTATCTTAACCCCCCCCCCGCCTCACACACACAAAAGAATATGAGCCGATTAAAACTATTCTTCCGGAAGCAACAGCCTTGCCTGTTTCTAAACATTACAGTTGATAGAGTTAGGCCCATCTGGGTTATTCAAACTCTTTTCTACATAACGTGAACTGTTTAGGGCTTTAATTATGACTTTACGGCAACACAGTGTTTGAATAACGAAGAAGTATAGGCAAACCAAGTACACATCAAAAACTATACAACCAACTATCCATTTCCCCACACCAGTCTCATGCTGTCCTCACCCTCTCACCCTGCTGGTCTTTATACCTCTTTGCTACTTGAAGTTATTAGTCTTTTTCCTGTTATAGCAGTTTTTCTTACTTTTGCTCATCTTATACAAGGAAGCCACCTTGACGTCCCTGCAGGAATGGACTGTAACTTGGAACAGTTAGCCAAATAAACCCTTTTCTCCCTTTATTTTTAATACATTCTCACAGCAACAGGAAAGAAACCAAACATGATCTTTTCCAAGAAGTTTGGGAGTCAAGTTCCAGATGTTGAAGAAAGGTTTTTACATTCTTTTTGTTTCAGATTCAGTTTCAAGGTCTTCTTAGCTTTTGGGTTTTGAGTTTTCAGAGTTCTCTCACATCTAAGCAGGGGCTATAATACCCAACTAATAACAGTGCTTAGAAATTAAAGAAACAAATTATGTTCTGTAGTCAGTTTTTTTTGGAAAAAAATTTTATGTGTGTGGGTGTTTTGTCTGTATACACCCACACATATATGTCTGTGCACCATTGTGAGTCTGGTGTCTGAGGACACCAGAAGAGGGTGCTGAGTCCCCTGGGATTGGAGTTTCAGATGGTTGTGAGCCATCATGTGGGTGATGGGAATTGAACCCAGGTCCTCTGGAAGAGCAGCAAGTGCTCATAGCCACTGAACCATCTCTCCAGACCCAACAGTTGTTTCTTTTTAAAGATTTATTTATTTATTACATATACATGACAGAAGAGAGCACCAGATTAAATTGTAGATGGTTGTGAGCCACCATGTGGTTGCTGGGAATTGAACTCAGGACCTCTGGAATAGCAGTCAGTGCCCTTAACCTCTGAGCCATCTCTCCAGCCCCAACAGTTCTGTTTCTTAACACCCTGAAGTCCCTAATCATTCCTCTATCAATACTGCAGTCCTGTCACACCTTTTCTTTGTATTGGTCTGTATTTATATGACCATCTGTTTGAACATTCTCCTAACCACTAGGCAATTTTCTAGGCCCTTGATTATTTACTTCATCTACTTAGCAAGATATGAACCTTAGTTTCTCCCAATACTGGTGATTACTCCCATTCTGTTTCATCTATTTTTTAAGATTTATTTTTATGAGTTCCCTACTTGCACTTAGGTTGTATGCTGTGATTGCAGTGCCTGTGGAGGCCAGATGTCCTAGAACTGGAGTTATAGACGGTTGGGAGCCACCATATGGGTGATGGGAAACAAACCAAGGTCCTCAGCAAGAGCACACTCAGCCAGTTCTCAAGCCCTTTATTTTCTTTTAGCATTTAAAAACAGTTCAAGCCTCATATCTTAAGGAAGTCAGCAAAACAAACACTTCTTTAGTTGTCAACAAAAGTCCTTATGTACACCATACAGAAGCAAAACTCCATAGACGTAGTGATTAGATGCCTAGTCCAAATCAGCACTAGTCAAAGGACACAAAAACTTAGTGGATATACACTTAAAAGCTAGGAAGCATGTTTTTGGAGAAAAAAACAAAAACAAAAACCCATTAGACAACCATCACTTGGAAAACCAAGCAAAAGTGATTTCTGGAGCCAGTTACTTGGGTTTTAGTGCCTTTTTAGGTCTGTCTGGCCTTAGGGAACCATGCTACAGATGTTCCTATTTCATTTGAATTTATTGCCTTTAAAGGTTATTAATCGGATCTCCTTTACTTGTTATCAAGGAACTTGTCTTCAATAGGCCACTGGCACTGGTACTGTATTGACTGTTACTCTGCCATATTCATCCTAGAGCAAACTCCCATGTATGTTTTCTTTCTAAGTTGACTAACATCCGTCAGTGTTGTTATATAAACAGTAGGGTCAAATGATTCAAAATAAAGTCAACTTGAAAAAAATCAGACACATGGACTTTAAAACAAATGTTTATTACTGTTTAATGGAACTGGAAGGGCAACACAAAGCATCAAAAACATCACTGGCTCACAAAAACAGCCACCTTGTTACTTTCTTGGTCACATTTGTTTATTCACAAGGTTTCATTCACCCATCTACACAAGATACCAATCCGATTCAAGTTCATAACGATTATAAAAGTAAACATTTATTGAGACAATGTACAATAAATTGCACTTTCTTAACAAGCATCACATTTACATTAATAGAGTGTACTATACATAATACATGGCATTATGGAAACAACTAATTGGTCACTGTTTATAGAGGAAGAGATTGATGGCTAATGTTGATTTTTATAGTCAATTAGCACTCCCAGACTAATCAACTCCTTTATTCTAACCTATTTTCTTTGTAGATGCTGGGTAAAACCATGTCTCATAAAAACAGCATAGGTTTGTACTACCTCCTCAGTAAGGCAAAGGCAGGAGCTGGAAAGAAAGGAATGGGGATGACAGAAGATTCTCCCCTAATTTGAACTAAGAATCCATGCATTATGCAAAATGCCAAGAATGGCAAAGCCAATTTAGAAGGCTCTTGGGACATGTTGGATCCTGGGATCACCTCCAGCTTTATCCTTGTGCTTTCATGACATTAGTCTTTTGATGCATTTATATTCTCACTAATCAGTTTCTTTGATCTTTTTCCGTATGTAATATAGAAATTCAAAGTTGCAGTTTAGTGGAAAGAATCTTATGTTAATCAATTGCCAATAAAAAGTAATGTTCATTTTCTTCCCAATGATTCACTTTTCTTAAACTTTTCAAATACACTTAATGATAAGCCAGAGATAAGGGCAGAATGATGGGTATATATTGATGGAGACAGTTTTATAACAAGTGGCATGTTTTATTGGAGGTAAGATCAAAGTGTAGATTTTGTTGTTTTAAGAGGAAATTGAGACTGATACATGGGACAGCTGACTAGTCACTTAAATTCTATAAGCATCTACTTGTCTTATAATTCAAAATCAGCATCACCTGTTGAGGTATAGTCTGTATGGGGGTCCTTATGTTTGCAGAGTTTGAAAGTTAAGGAAGTGGGTAACATAAAGTGCCTTGCATGTTGCATGTATTACATAAAAGCCACCAGAAGAAAGGAAGAGAGCTCAGTGTGACCCTCAGCACAAAGGCTAGACAGAGTTTTATGCTTGGTCATTGGAAACAGGCCACAGAGCTGCTGTTTGGGCTTCCAGTTTTGATCACTATGTCTTGAAATCTAACGTGTATTTGGTTACATGGTATCTAGGTAAACAAAAGAAATAGGGATACCCTATCTCACACACACACACACACACACACACACACACACACACACACACACTGCACACATGCAAACGTACCCCTAACTATTCAAACCATACAGCACAATTGTTCATTATCTCATTTGCTAGATAGTAAAGCAAGAGAATCATCTATTATAGAGTATTATAAAGAATAAGTTATGTAATACAATCATTTTCTAAGTGTCTTTCTTAAAAGATTACTAAGTATTTTTAAAATGTTCTTTCTGGCCACTTAAAGGCATCCTAAAATACAGACAACCACTTTAGTGCTGGATGCACACAGTTGGTGAATTCATTAGCAGAGTTGATTTCATTTCAATTCTGATATTAGGTATACATTTTATTTTTTTTAACAGGGCCTTGCCATGTCATCCTGGCTAGCTTGGAACTCACTGTGTAGCCCATGCTTGACTTGACCTCACAGGCATTCCTATGCTTCAGCCTCCTGAGTGCAGAGATTGTGGGTGTGGATCACAACCAACACTGACACTAGCCTAGGAGATTACTTTAAAGGTCTAGGTTTTCATCTGCTGTGCCCTCTCTCCTGTGTATTGTTTCAGTTGTCTTGACGTTAGCTAAGAAATGAAACCACTAGTTACTAACTGGAAAATAGTTGAAACAGAGCAGGGGTTGGAGAAAAATAAATATATACTGTAGGAAAAAGTGAACATTTTAAAAACAAATGAAACAAAAACTAAACTCTCATTATCAGTACAAAGGGGACTTTTCAACTTTATCAGGTAAATTCAAGAAAGCCAAAGAAAAAGAAATTATTAATTTAACAGATGGTGAGGGGATAACAGATACTGTATGAAAATATAGGCTGCAGGACTATGTGGCATTCCTATTACTGTTTCTGATATGGACTTGTATACTGAAGTGTAGTGAATCAAGAATCCCTTTGCATTAAATTATATATACTTAAAAATAACCAGCCCAGGATGTGCGCCAAACATAGGCATTCCAAAATCCAGTGTCTTTCAGCTTTTGAGAACACACTAAATGAGACCATCAAGTTATAAAAGCTAAGGAATGAGTTGACTCTTCATTGTAGTCTGTAGAACTCAATGAAAAGAGAAATGATCAATTCCAGATGGTTATAAATATTAGCATTTTAGAGGAGTGTTTTCTATCATGTAATTCTTGGGAAAAGATGAAAGAAAGTACCATGATTGAAAGGTATCTTGGATATATGCCTGGCTTATCTTTTTTCTATAAGGAATCCAAGAGAATAATTTTAGCTGTTATGGTTCCTGCCTATAATCTCAGTGCTTAGAAGGCTGAAGTAGGCAGGTTCTAAATTCAAGGCTAGATTAGATTACATAGTAGAACCTGTCTCAAGAAAAAAAGTTGCAGTTCTCAAATATGCAAAAAAGTAAGTGAAATTATAATGAGAACTTGCTTTATGTTGGCCCTCTGGAGTTCTTAAGCAATAGTGAATAATGTAAGGTTTGCGGCATTGCTATGGTGAAATAGTGAACAAGAAATCACATATTACCTCTTGAATATTCTTTCCAATCTTTACTTTTGCTACTAACTTAAAGATAGTGTAATACAGGCAATTTAAACCTAATACCAAAATACATGCCCAAATATCAGATGGTACTGGAAAACAAAAAAGATTATATACTTGCAAGAGTTAAATGAAAACTCAAAAGATATATTTAACTCTTAAAATATATGCTCCTGGTGATCTTGTTTAATGAGAAAAAGCAAAGGGACGATGAACCTGAACAGATACTTGATCTAGAGCCATTCTGTTTCCCTCATTTACCACTTATGAAAATTACCAACTTAGGTATTCTGTGGAATGTATTTATTTTCAGAAGTTAAAAAGAGCTGTGAATGGTATTAGAAGTTCACAAAAGTGCTCCTTAATTTAGCTGGCCATTTGAAAAAGTGACTTGTCCAGGGCTTCCTGGAGTCATAGTGCACAATACCAAAGAAAGCTAACTGGCTACACTAAATGATTGACAGAAATCATGTGATGTTCTAGCCATTATGGAAAAAAAATAGCTCATCTAAATCACCACGTAGGGAATGTTAAGTCAACAAAGATAACTAGAGTTCTGGTTTATTGCCTTTTGATAAAAGGAAATGAAACTTCTGATAAAAGACACCAGAACTAAAACTGAAACTTCTATATGGAGAGTATTGTTTGATAAGTGTAACATATCAAACAACCATATCAGTTCTATGGCCTGTAGATGACAGAGACATTTAGAGATTAAAGACTCTTCACTTACTAGAACTCAAAAGTGTGATTTTAGAGGAAAGTCTCTATCATGAGCAACTTGAAGGGGGGGGATACACGACCGTGCTCTGTCTGAGGCTTACCTCTTAGAGTGTGTAATTACAGTTACAACATATGGCACAGAGGAGAACTGCTCTGGCACTACATAGTGTAAGATACTTTGGAAACACTATGCTTAACAATGAAGCCAAAGATGAATATAAATAAATGTTACTGTACATGACTGACAGTAGTTTGGTTGCTGTAAAGGGACCAGAGATTTCCATAGTAGCTTAGAAAATGGAAAAATTAGTTCTGTTCTTACCAAATAATTTCTTGAAAGGGCTATTTATACAGGCATGCCAAATATAATTGGAAAAATATCTGCACCAATTTTTAACAGTAACCTTACCTTTCCATGAGTTAAGTATTTCTATAAAGGTTTAGTAAATAAAAAATGTGAAAACATACTTGTTTTTCTTTATTCCCAGGTGTGCAAGGCACACAGTTTCAGGGTAAGGGAGAAGTTAGAAAAATTGCCTAACACTAAGGTTCTAGGAAGCTCTCTTCAACTTCCTTGGCAATATCACAGCCTTTAATAAAGTACAGAACATTATCACTGTTCCACTCAAAAGTACAATGCCTATCACGGACCTTTTTTAGACTTCTCCAGTGAGTGGTCCCTAAGTCTGCAACTTACACTATCCATCATCTCTGAGGTTACATTAGCCACAATTCACCTCTGTGTTCATACAAAGGCACATCAGGAGAATGAGCCCCATGTGGAGTCCTTAAAAGGATCTGCTAGAACCCCAGAGCCACATGACTTTATTGCACATTTACTGGAGTCTCTATTTACCTAGAGTGCAGTAGCCTATCTACTCCACAGATCTTGGCACTCCATTTACAAATGTAGCCAACTCAAAATAATTTAGGGGGAACTTTGAAGCCAACCCCTGATCTGTTCTTTTCTTGGGACAGGTGTAGCACTACTCTGGAAGTCACTTTCAGTGTGAAACCTGTCAATGGTCATGTGTAGTCCCACAGTGTGCTTTATCTTAATAATCCCGGAAAGTTAAAGAGGTTTAGTTTCCCTTTAAAGACAGAATTTTGTGACAAAGATCTTAACCATTTTAACCTTGGAATAACATGTCTCCATTTTTGTGTGAGATAAAAATTATTATGAATAATTAATTCTAAACAAAGCAGTTTTAGTTCTAGATTACTTATTTTCAACTAAATTTCAGGCATATAAAACAATGTGTAATACTATGATGGATCTGAATGTGGCTCTCCATGAAGAAGCTGGGAAAGATAGTCAACATAAATCAGGTTGGCTTAAATATCTCTTTGAAAAATGTCATACACAAAAGACAGAGCTACTAAAGATTCTAATTTGCTTTCTGGTCTCCTTTACTTTCTTTCAAAGGAGCAACAGGAAGAATTCTTGGTTTCTGTTGTTTTGATCATTGTGCTCTTGTGCTCCACTGAGGCTGGAGCTATGTGCTCTCCTTGGGTGGCTGCGGAGCCTGTGGTGGTTGTAGTGGCTGGGTGCCTGTGGCTGTTTTGATAGAGTTCAGGGTTTTGCTAAACCAAGAGTTTTTTGCAGCTTGTATTTCATTCATAAGCGCTCCTCTCTGATGCTCAAGTTCCTAATGAAAGAAGAAGATCACGGGTTACATAAATGCCAGAAGAAAAGAGATAGATACTGTTTAGATTCACCAGGCTCTGTAGTCCGCCCTTCCTCAAAGCCCAGGAGACATTCAGTTGGCTTCCTAATGGAAGAGAAAAGTTGAGAGCTAAAACAGTTACCAATAAAAAATGAGAATCCTTGCTTTCTATGAGCAGTGAAATTAACCACATTTTATTTTCCCTACTTCCCTGCCATTTAGATCCAAATTTGGGTTTAGGTTGCAATTGGAGACTACATGTTTAAAACCACAAATAAATATGAGTACAAATGTGTTTCAATTAAAAACTGCCCTTGAGAACATTCAGGATGCAGACTAGACACACTGCTGAGGATCCCTAATGCAGCTTCAGGGTGGAGTTACTGGTAAAAAAGCAAACAGTACAGTCCACCAGGAAGCCAGGCCTGTTTTCCTAATGGCTATTATCCAATACAGAGAGATTGGAGAAAGGAAATCTGGCAAAATCAGCCGAGAACCAAAAGAACTCAAAAGAAAAGAGTGGGATTAGCTTGTCTTGTGAAGAAATAATAGAGGGGTCTGGCCTTTCATTTTTGGATCAGCCAACCAAAGTGACTAAGTGAAGAATCCAAGACAAACATTCTAGGGTAAACTGGGAGAAAAATCACATTACTAGGTTCTCACAAAATAAAACTTAAATCATTATAAATCAATTTAAACTATGTTTGTTTCTATGAATACATGCTATAAAATGTGTTGGCACAAGACACATCAGGGATACAAAGTGTACCACATGCAGGATCATCATGAGTCTAAGCAAGAACAGTATTCTAAAGACAAGCTTCTTTTGAAAGAATAAGATTTCACTACATAGACCAGGCTGACCTCAGATTCTCAGAGATCCACCTCCTGAGTGCTGGGATTAAAGATGGGTGCCTCGATGCCTATCTCAGTCCTGCTTCTTAAAGCATGGGTTGAGACCCTCCACCATGTAACTGAAGGTAGGGGTAGGGAAGGTCATGACAAGAATTTGGCATGTTAGAAAATTAATTCAAAACCAAATGCATAATGAATGTGAGGTATTTCTGTCTGTATTCGCCCATATTCTATCATGTGACTTCACTTCAGCCTTGGTTCTGAACACAACATGTGCACGTTGCAATAGGCAGGCCATCATGTCAAGCTGCACCAACAAATGCTACTTCAAACACTTTGGCTCAGATTTTAGACAATTGCATGTTATGTGTTACAGTGTTTTCCAGCACTTGGGTGGCAGAGACAGGTGAATCTCTGAGACTTTGAGGCCAGCCTGGACTACAGAGCTAGTTCAAGGACAGCCAGAGAAACCCTATCTTGAAAAACAAAACAAAAAAAATTTTTTTTCTATTTTCCATCATTCCTCAGCATATAAGTATCAAATTAATAATGTTTTTGGATTATATTGTATTGGACATGTTTGATTTCAAAAGAATGTTGTTTGAGGGCTAGTGAGATGCCTCAGTGGTAAAGAGCACTGGCTACTTTTGGAAGACCCATGTTCAATACCCACATGATAGCTCATAGCCATCTATAAAATTCCATTTCCCAGCAATCCAATGTCCTTTTATGTCCTCCACAGGCATCTAAGCAACATCCCCTGCCCCCCCCCACCCCGCGCACACAAAAATAAGCTGTTTGAGTTGCTGGCAAGTTTCATTAAAAATAAGCCATAAAATGAATTTTGTCTTGATATTAGAACAGAACTTCCAGTTTCTGAAATGGCCCTGAATGTATTTCTGATATCTTCGAATTATGTTTATGTGAAGTGGCATTTTAGAACTGACAATTACAAAATTAAAGTATGAATCAACTCTGAAATACTGAGAATATCTCTTTGTCCCATAGTATGAAATATTCAGCCAAAATTATTTTATCAAAATAAATATGCCATCTTAGGAACCAATTTATTTTCACCTTCAATCAATGGTAAAACTATATGCACATTAGAATTGTTTAAAAACACAACTTTCTGGGGCTGGAGAGATGGCTCGGTGATTAAGAGCACTGGCTCTTCTTCCAGAAGCCCTGGGGTCCAATTCCCAGCACCCGCATGGCAGCTTGCAACTGCCTGTATCTCCAGTTCTAGGGGATCTGACACCCTCACACAAATGCACACTGAATAAATTAAAACAACTTTTTATGACTTACTGTCAGTACATGTTAGATATGTAGACCTAGTCTCTACATTGACGGCTGTATAAATTCTTCCGTGTTAAATGGGGTTGTTTGTGTGTGTCCTTTGACCTTTTATCAAATCACCAACCTGAATTTTGCACTTGGCTTCCACGAGCTGCAGTTTAGTTTGTGCCAGGTCCAGCTCCATCTCCCTCAGTTGCTTCTTAAGTGAATCCTTCTCATCATCTGCTTCAATTCCCTGGTCCTCTCTACTTATGGCTGCTGGCTTTAAAGCTCCTTCCTTGCTGAAAATGTCACTGCAGTGTTTGCATGCCATCATCTTACCCTGAAATACACAAAAGAGACAGACACCCAACACCAAACTTTATTTTATAAGCTAAACAACTTCCCAAAATGTGTGATGTTTTAAAGATAGCACACTGTCTTCAACATTGAAAAATACATGATTTTTAAAGATGGTGCACTTTCTTCAAACACTGTCCTGTCTCTGAAGACACTGTTTGACTTGTGCTGTCACCAGATGATCACAGTCAGCACAAAATCCACTGTCCCAGAACAGGTATTCAGTGTGCATGTCCTTTTGTTTGGCTTTGAGCAAAGACAAACACCACTGCTTAAGAGAATAAAGGTGACACATCTGCATGCTCCCATGCACACTCCACCAAACAGGCAATTCTTTTCAGGACAGCACTGTTTGTTGCCACTGGCCTAAGCTTTGCAGTGTTGGAATGTTGGTGCAAGCTTTAGTCAATAATGTGTTTTTTATGTGACCTTGAGGATGGAAGCCCTGGGGGAACAGTGAACAAGAGGAACTCCTTTTTCAAGGTAATAGAGTTATTGTTAACTAGGATAATATGGACATGGTTCACTATTGACCAAAGATCCATTTCTCTAGGCCAAGGCTGCTTTTTTAAAAATACATTATCTTAGCCGGGCGTTGGTGGCGCACACCTTTACTCCCAGCACTCAGGAGGCAGAGGCAGGCGGATCTCTGTGAGTTCAAGGCCAGCTTGGTCTACAGAGTGAGTTCCAGGACAGCTTCCAAAACAATACAGAGAAACCCTGTCTCGAAAAACCAAAAAAACAAAAACAAAAACAAAAACAAAAACATTATCTTTTGTGTTTAAGCCAGTGTTCTTTGGAGATGGTTACATGTATTTAAACACACACAGTGATGCAGTAAAATTTGTGTATGGTTACAATCATTGTGATTACAGTGCAGAGGACGAACTGGAGATGTCACAGTATTATAGTTCACTGGAGAAGCAAACTGGCACACCATACCAAACAAGATGCAGAAGCACCACTAGAAGTTAATGACCAAGAATATGAATTAGAGTTTGACTCTGGGTTTAAATCCCATTTCTACTGCTTACTAGCACTGTAATTCAACCAACGAGTTACCTGTTTGGGGCCTCATCTCAACCACTGGAAGACAGTCATGTCTGTTTCCTAGGATAGATGTAAGGCTAAAGGGAAGACGCATATAAAGCGTGAACAGCAGGTTCTAATAAATGCTAGCCGCTCTTCTGTGGCTGATACTAGTTTATCTTTGTCTTTTAGGATGCCATTACATTTCATTAGCTAATCTTACCTTCTTGTTTTTCTCCATTCTTTGTCACTACTTATCCTAATTACATGCCTTCTCTAATGAATAACTAAAATGCTGATTCCATGTCTTCATTCACACTGTTTTTCCAGAATATTCTTTTAAATCTTTCTCCATAATTGAATTCTATGCAACCTGTATTATTTGCAAAGGTCTCTGGCCTGTAGTTCTTAGGTTTTGTCTTCTCTACAGCTCTGATTGTCAGTGTAACCTAATACAGAACTGTTGTTTATGTGTGTGACTTGCCTTGTAGGATATATAAAATACACTGTCTCCCAAATTAATCTAAGGACCTTATATACATTATCTTATTTAACCTCTAAAATTATGACACAGGTAATGTTTATTTAGAAGAAAAACAAGATTCGATAAGTTAGCTTTTCAATTCCATTAAATGAAAAATCGCCTGGGACACAATTATGAAACATGAATATGTTCAAACAGAAAGATATCTGGTAAACTAGCACTGGTATTCGTAAGAATATCTTATATCGGATATTATTAAAAACAATCCATTTGGTATACTGTTACTTTTATTAGTTCTTTGAGAGTTTTGTACAAATTGTTTTGATCATATTCACTGTTCCCATGACTTTTATTCCTTTTTTCAAAAAATTAAGCATAATTTCTTTATTGATCCTTTGGGAATTTCATATCATGAATCCTAAGTCCACTCACCTCCCAGCCCCTCCATATCATCCCCTCACCCCTGTAGCACCACCCCAAAAGAAAATTTAAAATAAACCAAACCAAAACAAAGCCGGCGAACAAAAAATAAAAGCAATCACTTTTCCTAAGTACAGAAATGACATAAGGAGTTTTACCCACCAGGGGGCAGCAAAAAATTACTGGTATACATTCTCTCTCGAAAAACATTTTTATGGGATTCCTGAGTGTGAGAATGAGTGGGTCTTTGATTCTTGTGCCTTCCTTTGGGCTCTTTTACTTGTGATTGTCTTGTTCAACTCCAATGTGACAGCTTTTGTTTTATATTTTACAATGTTATATTTTATTATTAAAACCTTTTGTTTGCTGAAATCAGTTGGTTACTAACAAGTGTTTTTGCAGCCAATAGTGTTTGCTGTTTCAGAGAATTGTCAGGATGACCCTGCAGAACTCCAAATGGAAGACAGTCAATTCAGGCCATAGTCAGATGTGAGCTGTTGAGCATCTCAGGTTCCTACCACCCAACAAAGACAAAAGATTCTGGGCTCATATATTCCCTCCTTTCCTGCTCCTTGCCTCTGAAATCCCATGCCATTATAGGAACATAAATGTCAAGAAAGACACCCCTGTGGCAGGGAAGAGGACCGAGACTCTCCATAGTGTCTGAGTGTATTATATTATACAAGATGGGGAGAGGGGTCACTGAGGATGGATTTGGATGAAGTTACATCACAGAACTAGCCCACTTCTTACCTTTACTGCTTCCAGCTCCTCCTTGCTGGCTGCTTGCTGTTTTTCCAGTCTGGTACTTAACTGAGAACATATCTAAAGGCAGAGAAGAGAGTTTCTTTACTAGGAAACAGAATGACTGGTGACATAACTGTTTCATCAACTCACAAAGCACACTAGCATGCCAGAATCTAGGGAAAATTTTGCAAATAAGCAGCACTGAAAACATAGTCATTTCTGAAATAATCCACATGTGAGGCATAACTTAATCAGGAGAGACATACTATGGGGTAGATAGGATTCTTGCTATCACTAGCAATTCATAGCCTCCCCCAAGGAATCACCTATAGAATCTCTATTGAGAATCTACTCTGTACAAGGTATTACACTTGGAATTCAATGAAAAGAATTATGAACCAGCAACAATTCCCAATGGGCTTAAGAATATCTCTTTTCAATCATAAATGTTTCCTTAAGAATCACTTAGCTCTTTCATGAGCCATGATGCAGTAATCAAACGAAAACAATGAATGTTCAAGGTCCTGAACTATTTAGCACCAGACCAGTAGGAAGCCCACATTTAATAAAAATCTATTTGATGGTTTGTTCTGAAATATGATGTAAGTAAGTACTAGGAACAAATATAAATGTTTTCCAGGGTGAAAATATTTTAAAATGTAGAATGTTCAAATCTATTGACTGAAATAAGAATCTTTTCCTTCACAAAAAGGAATTAAAATAAATCTTAAAACACATGAAACAAAATAGAAACATGAGTGAAAAGCAAGGAATATCAAATTTTAAAGTGTGTACTGGACTGGTAACATATATGACCTATCTGGATTTATGTATATGAGTGTTTTGCCTGAGTGCATGTGTGTGCAACCCATGCATGCCTAGTGTACATAGACGTCAAAAGAAAGCATTAGATCCCCTAGAGCTAGAGTTAAAGACGGTTGTGAGTCACCATGTGGGTGCTGGGAACTGAATTCAGGCCTTTTGTAAGAGCAATGAATATTATTAACTGCTGGGCCATCTCTCTAGTCCTTCAAAAACATTTAAAAAACAAGCATGACGACCTGAGTTCAGAACCCATGTTAAAAGCCTAGTATGACTGTGCATCCAGATAGTAGTCACCTACAGCATAATATGGCAATTAAAATGCATTTGCATGTGACAACAGGTTCCATGGCACACAGTCTTAATGTTTCATGTGCTGATTTCCATCTAATCTCCCCACAAAAATCTCAGAATTACTTTTGCCCTTTCTAGAAAAACAAACCAACCCAATCAAATCCTTGTGTCTCCTCTACTTAAATTATTACTCACTGTGGTGGTTTGAATAGGAATGGCCCCCACAGACTCATGTGTTTGAATGCTTGGTCACCAGGGTGTGACACTATTAGGAGGTGTGGCCTTATTGGAGCATTAGGGTCTTTTTGGAGGAAGTGTGTCACTTGGGTTGGGCTTTGAGGTCTCAGATGCTCTCAAGCTAGTCCCAGTGTGGCATTCTCTTCCTGCTGTTTACTGGTTTATTGATCCGGATGTAGAACTCTTGGCTCCTTCTCCAATACCATGTCTGCCTGCATGCTGCCATGCTTCCCGCCATGACAATAATGGACTAAACCTCTGAAACTGTAAGCCAGCGCCAGTTAAATGTTTTCCTTTGTAAGAGTTGCTGTGGTCATGATGTTTCTTCACAGCAATAGAAACCCTAACTAAGACATGTATTTTGGCTTTGGGCCCCATTTCTTCTCACTTTTAATATGGGTTGTGTTCCTGCCTGTGGATCTCTCCCACGGGCTCCATATTCCTCACTAGATGTGAATAGTGCCAATAGCACATCCACCAGCAGTCACTTTCTACAACTCCTCAACCCAAACATGACCCCGTGGACTTCTGTGAACTCTTCAGCCCAGATGTGGACCTGTGGGCTTCTGTCTCACTTCTGCACTTATTTGAACCCTGTGGGCTTCTGTTTTTGAATATCCTGCCAAGTGAAATGCTTTTCTGCTTACTAATCTACCTCCACGACATCCCTCTTTCAATCTCGATCGGGCTTGCCTCCAAATGCATACTCCAAGTCTTGCCCAGTCTTTGAAGTACAGTTCAGACCATAACATATTCATAACAAGGCTTCCTGAACTTGCTCTGGGAGCACATGTACTGATAGGAAAAAAAGATACTTCTTCACTCCCCACATACAGTGAGTTCTTTATGTCTATGCACAGGAATTAGCCTCCCATTTTAAGACAAGCTAAAGTGTGGTGTAAGACTACACATTTGTAGTGCTAGCCCTCGGAAGCTGAGGCCAAAGAACTAAGGGTTTCAGAACACTTGGGCTACATTAGACTTTGTCTCAAAACAAAAGAATAATAAACAAAACAAAACATGCTTTCTAAAGGAGAAAAAGTAGACTAATTAATTTTGAAGTTTCCAGCTTCCCCATCAGAAAACATTCAATAAACATGCTGCCATCATAAAAGGTGGAAAAGAGCTCTGAAATCTCATTTCTAATACATACTCTATGAACAGGAAGGATATTTCCACATACATGTATGTATGTATGTATGTATATATGTGTTATATATGTGTGCATATGTATGCATGTATTATCATAGACCTATAGCCTCAGCCCTGAAGCAGCCTGATAAAAAATGTTCCTAATATATGAATGGATCCTCCTAAAGTAATGAGAATTATACAATTTACCCCCCTTTAACATATTTATTTATATAGCATTTGTTTATATGATGATGCACACTCAATACAGTGATTATCTCTAGTTAGTACAATTAAATAGGGCTTGTTTTGTATTTTTCTGCATGTAACTAACTTTCTACAAAACAAATTTCACTTATATGCATAAAAGACTCCATAAAATGCATATATCAGATGTCAACATCCTTTATATGCTGACATCCAAGAGAGTTCTCTGATCAGAAAATAACATGTAGCACTGTAAACTCTGAAAGCTTTAAAACATAAGTATTCAAAGTCTCTCAGGATGAGGGCTCCATCCCATGCCCAGTTACTAACAAGAGGGAACTGGGGTGAAGGCTTTCTAGGACCACCCCTATAAGGGAACCAGGAATACCTTCAGGCAGAGACAGCTCTCTATTAAAGGGGCATTTGAAGATTCACAGAAGAGTTTCTGCCAGCACTAGCTTGCAGAGGGCAAGTCTATATAACCATCTTGGGGGAAAAGCACTACTTTGAACCATGAGAGCAAATGATAATATATTCCCCTAGCTACTGACATTTGATATAGTTACTAAGCTTTGCAATGAGGGAAATGTTACCAGTGTGACCTACTAGAAAAGACTCCCAGTGGGACTGTTTCCTATACCACAGGAGCTAGCCAACACTAAAAAAAAAAACCCCAACAGGTTGTGTTGATCAACTAGGCTTCTCATGTTACCAGCAGCAAATCCAACCACTGCCCACTGCAGAGTAGAGAGCAAGACACTGTTCTCAGTAAATCTAGAAATCTTTAGAAACAAAAAAACAAAACATCAGTGAAAGTAATTGCTTTTATGAAAAATAATTAAAACCCCACACAGCATATTACCTGTTTATACTCAGCAATGATAGCTGTTGTCTTCTTTATCTCATATTCTGCCTTTTCTAGCTGTTTCCGGAAGACTTCTTTTAGCTGAAAGAGAGAGAGACAGAGAGAGAAAGAGACAGAGAGACAGAGACAGAAACAGAGAGAGACAGAGACATCAGGAAAGTTAAATTTGGTTTTCTCTTTAAAGGTTTCCTTTTTAATTTTGCTTATGTGTATGTGGGTATGCATACATGTGCTGTTGCCAGTGAAGGTCTGAAAAGTGTGTTGGGTTCCCTAGACCTAGAGTTACAGCTAGTTATAGGCTGCTCAACTTGGATGCTGAGAAATTGGGCAAATGCTCTTAGCTGCTGAGCCATGTCTCTAACCCTTCAAATCAAAATGCTAATCAATTTCCATAAACATCTAAATTCAAGTCTCCCTGATTTCCATAATTCAAAACCTATCACTTACAGAGATGGAGAAGGCTTTCTTTTCTATAAAGTGGAAGACATATAAGAGGTCCTATAATAAAACTGCTTCTGCTTTCCAAGTACTTGATAAATGTATTGCTAAGTGTCAGTTCAGAAGCTGTCTTTATTATGAGTCCATAGCAAAATACCAGAGAAAGACTGTGTTACTAAGTATGTTACTCTTAATGCTATGATATATTTTGGTCTTCCTGTCTATAGTCCCCACTGCCACGGCCATTGCAGGGGCAAGAGGTGAGGAAGGTAAGAGCTCTTAAGAAGGACTGAAGGCTCAGGAATCCAGACAGAAGGAAAAAGAAAAAAATGACACAGCATGGGGGTATTTGTTTCAGTCAGTGACATGCTAAATTATAAATACTATACCAGCAGTCACAGCTATTTTTTTCATCAGCAGCTATAGAATTCTAGAATAGAGGAAGATTAAGTGATGGAACACTCAGGTACCAGACTCTGCCAAGTTGCTGGTCAAACAAGAATGCAAGTAAGCAAACAAACCAATACAGTTCTGATTAGTCTTTCAATACATATACAGAATAAAGGATGAATTACTGGGGATGAAGAAATGGCTCAGCAGACAAGAGAACCTGAGTTCAGTTCCTAGCATTTGTGTCAGGAGGCTCACACTGTAACTCCAGGTCCAGGGCAGCCAATGTCCTCTTTTGACCTCTGTGGCTACCCATATATATATATATATATATATATGTATGTATGTATATGCGTATATATATATGTCATACAAAGGCACACATACACATAAAAGAAGGTAAAATAACTTTTTTAAAAAACAAAGATGAACTCTTCCAATTCATAATTTGAGATGCTGATATGAAGGATTCATCTTTTTAACATATTTCAATGGAAAAAGTCACAGAACGTTTTTTATAGACCTTGGAAGGTGCTAATGACACATCTCTCCATATGTGTCTTCACTGACACTTTTCTCTGGCTGCTTGGATGAAGGCCTTTGAAATTCTTGAGAATAAATTTGGTTTCTATTTAGCATTACTGAGTTTCCCTTGGGAGGAAACTCATGATTTCAGAAAACTTCTCCCTCTGGAAGTTAGTCATGTCCTGAGCAGGAGATGTTGGTCGTGAGGAATTCTACAATGTCATCTCCAGCACTGCACTGTGACTCAGGATACTGAAGCTACTGACAGAGGCCAAGGCTCCTGACAGAGTCAGGCAGAAACCACGATAGGCCTCCAGTTTAGCAGCATTTACAACTACTTCACAAGAGTCAATGATCTTGGAGATATGACAGAAAATTTCCAGATTCATTGAAGCTCTTGAATCATAACTCAGTCACTAAATCTAGAAAAAAAACTCGACATTCTTGCTAGACATCTCAGTGAAGACAAACTCCTAAAAGATGTTCAAAGGGAAAATTATTGCTTATCATTCCCCTTGATTTAGGGGGAAAATCAATTTGTACATTTATTTATTTTTATAATATTAAGCAACTTCCTGTAAGTGTATCCACATATAGAAAAGTCTGCCTGTGCCTTTTACCTGAGCAGTCTCTTCCTCTTGCTTCCTCTTCTCTTCCTCGGTCTCCACCAGCCTCTGCTTGGTCAATAGGAGCTCCTTATTCAGCACGTCAGCCTTGTCCTCTGCCTGCAAGTCAGAAAACAGGACAGCTGTACAGAAGGGGAGGGCTTCATGCGCATGCTCTTGATTACTCCAGGCCATTCTCCTCTCTTCCAGCTTACTTTGGGGGTGCCTTTTTTCTCCAGCCAATTTTATGTGACCATTATGCTCTCATTACCTTTAGTAGTTACAGAATAATCATTTATAGTTGATAACACTGAGGTTTGGAGAGATCAATCTTGGGTTAAACCTAAAATAACAAGTATGACTTGGATGCAGGTTTGAATGACACTGAAGTCTATGTTCATTCTAAACATTTCTTGAATATTTTTACATGTCCCAAGAGCACATACTCTGAAGAGAGGGGCCTGACAAGGAGGAAGAGCTACACACAGAAGATTCTAGTTGGAAACACATAGGGAGGACCCGGAGAAGACACTCAGAGAGGACAAGCAGACAGACTCATGGACATGCTCTGGTAGAAAAATTTGAAATCTAGCTGGGGTAAAAAGTAGCTCATTGGGTCATTCATTCATATAGGTCTATGAGAAAAGTAAGCAGAAACTACAGCAGAGAGTGAGGGGCTATGAAAAGCTGCAGTTTGTACCAGAAATCTAGGGAGCCACAATTGCACTTCTAGAATACACAGGAGGAGCTTAGAGAGTATGTTTGTTAACTCGGATACAGAACTAAGATTAACTAGATTTCCCTGTATATATTTAATATAGCTAATCTTGTCTGCTTTTATACCCTGAGATCCTAACTTCTCTATCTGGTTCCAGCCACACATTCACATCACAGTGAACATAACACAAGCCTGCCCCACTGGCTCCCATCTAAATTGCCTCTGCTGTTTTATCCCTCCTATTATACTCTACAGCACTGTAATAAATATGCCTGGGACTTGTATATCTTGCCACTATGCTTTCAACACTAGGAGAAATCATATCTCTCTTGCTTTTTACTGTGTCCCTGGCAACACAGCCACCCTAGGGACAGGAGTAATCTCTTGAGTGGCTAGTGAATGAGTGGCTGTGGCTTTCTAAGGCACTGGAGAAGGAGACTGCTTATTGAATAGTCATTGTTAGGCCATGATAGGTAGCTTATGTAATTTATTGAAAAAGTGTCCAGTGAACACAGCACATGTGAGCCCTGAGTGTGTGTGGACTTCTACAGTCTTCTAGGAAACTTTCCTCCAAGAGTCTTCTCTATGTTAAACAGTGTAGTAGAAGTCATTCTGCCCATCAACAAAATAGGATCAGATCTTGAATGACCTGACTCCACCTGTAAAAACAGGTTTCTGAACTTTTGTATGCCCAGAAATTCTATACCTTGTTCAAGAAGGCATTGTCTACAATATTTAGCAATCATAATATTAAACAAAGATTTATTCAAACTCTACCTGTGAACCCAAATTGTAAAACCTCCATTATAATTTGACAGTCTGAATAGAACATTATCAAGTCTTTAGTTATAATGATTATTTGAAGATGACTTCTGTGACAAAAATAAAGGATAGAAATAGTGACTGCAAAGCCTGCTTAATCATAAATCAACCAGTGACCTGATCAAAGGCTTGAGTAAATAAGATAAGGATTTTTTAAAATTTATTTATTCTTGGAATTACAGACAGTTGTTAGCCGCCATGTGGGTGCTGGGAATTGAACCCAGTTCCTCTAGAAGAGCAGTCTGTGCTCCCAACCTCCAAGCCATCTCTCTAGCCCCCCAAGATGAGGATCTTATACAAATGATTTTTGATGGAACTCACCAAGCCAATTGTTCAATTTAGAACAAAGCAAAAGAATGTACCTCTCAAGACTTGAGCTTCTGGCTCGTGGTCAGAAGGAACTCAAACATATCTCCATGGGAAGGCATTCATTTTATCCCTTCTTTCTTGTTCCTTGAGTATAGGGTAGGGCAGAAAGGGCCTTAAAACCATTAAAATGAAAATGCTTCTTTGATGGTTTCTGGTTCCTGAGGAATCCTTATTTAATAAGGAGTCTAAGGGTGAGTTGTCAGAAGAAAAGAGTCCTTTGTCTGAGAGAAAAGCTGAGGTACCTTTACTGCCCAGGGCATCCAGGACACCCGACTCAGCACTAGTGACAAGAGCAAGGAACCCAGGTGCAAAGAGGAGTGATGAGCAAAGGAATCAAGACCAGGCTGGTGAAACCCACAGAGGCAGCTGACCTAAACCTAACCTAACCTAAACAAGGGGGAACACATGGACCCCAGACTGATGCCTGAGAGGCCAGCATGGGACTGATCCAGATACCCCCCCACAACCCACCCCCACCCAGAACCTGGGTGTCAGAAAAGAGATCTCAGCAATCTATGAGACCTTGGAGAGTAAATCAGTATTTATTCCTGGCATACAAATAGACTCTGGAAGCCCATTCCACATGGAGGGATGTTCTCTCAGCCTGGACACATGGGGGAAGACCTAGGCCCTGCCTGGGATATGACAGACTCTGAAAATCCCTCATGGAAGCCCTTACCCTCTCTGGGGAGAGAAGGGGGGATGGAGTTGGGTGGGGGGCTGGAAGGATTGGGGAATCGGGAGAGGAGGGGAGGGAGAGGGAACTGAGAGTAACATGTATAAAAAGTTAAATAAATAAAAAAAAAAAGAGCAAGGAATTTTGAAAAAGTCCCAAGTCAGCATTTATTTACTTTACATATGGGCTCACATACAACCTACTTTCACATTTGTTAATGTTTACTGTTTTGATTAAAAGACTAGATTCTGATCTACTGAAAACAAAGGCCCTGGGCAAACAGGAGAAGCAAGCAAAACCAGTCTTTTCACTCCCAGACTGATGCCCTTCCTTGAAGAGCGGCAGGCCAGAAGGCTGTGCGACAACAAGAAACCTCCTGCAGAGGCAGAAACTGCAAGATCAGAAGTTAGGAGACACGCATGAAACTGCAGTTTGCATTCATTCTTCTATATAACTAGCTACAAAATGGAGATCCTAGGGTATCACTTTTTTAAAAGGCAGAGAGAGCTATGATATAGCAAAACAGGAAGGGAAGAAATAAAGGCTTGAGAGAGAGAGAGAGAGAGAGAGAGAGAGAGAGAGAGAGAGAGAGAGAGAGAGAGAGAGAGAGAGAGAGAGAGAGAGAGAGAGAGAGAGAGAGAGAGTGTGAGAGTGAGAGGTCAAAGGTTAATGCCTTGTGTCTTCCTCAGAGCTCACCAATCTAGTAGGACTGGCCAACACATTCCAGATTTGCCTGTGTCCTTTCCCCTAGTGCTGGGTTACAGATGCACACTATCATGCTTGGCTCATACATATATACTGAACATCTGAACTCAGGCTCTCAAGCTTGCTAGCAAACACTATATCTACTGGGCCATCTCCCCTGCCTGGAGAATCATTTCTAAAGGAATTGATCACACAAGTACTCAACAGTCAGTTTCAGTCATTTCAGACTAATCCACAAAAGGAATTATCTCGCCAGTAAGATGACTTTTCAAGTAATATTCTGTTTATAAAGTTATATGTTCTTATGTATAATGCATATTGTTTTTCTAGCCTCATTATTTAATACATTATTCCAAAAACATGTTTTATAGAAGTACTATCATTCTCTTCTACTACAGGACATTACATCATTTCTACATTTTATTTCTGATAAGTAACATTGCCGTAAATAAACTTTCATATTCATTTTTAATTAAATTTCTACTTTGAAAGGATAACTTTCCAAGTTGGAGACTATCAGCTTTCTGATTTCTAAAATGAGGGCTCTAAAATAATGCTTGCCTCAAAATCTGAATTAGCACTGACCAGAACTAACCATTCCACAAGATTAAAGGTGTGTGTGTGTGTGTGTGTGTGTAGTTTCCATACACAAAGACAAAACTTGAAAACTTATCCCAGTGGATCCAGTCATGAGAACACTTTGAAAAGACCTGAGGCTCAGTGTAAAAGAGTGAACAACTAAAACCCCAACAAAGCTGGGTATGGTTGCCCACAATTTAATCCCAGCACTCAGGAGGCAGAGGCAGGAAGATCTACAGATCAAGGTTCAGGACAGCCAGGGCTATACAGAGAAGTCCTGTCTTGAAAAACTGGGAGGGGGGTTATGGGGGAGGGGGAGAGAGACAGAAAGAGAGAGAGAGAGGAGAGAGAGAGACTGCCAGAGCCAGCAAAAAGACAGCTTTTCAAATGAGTGAACCTGATAAATAATCTGAATTAAAGGCCTCAGAGTCAAACTGAAAATGTAAAAACTGAGTTCCCTTCTTTAGGCAATTCGCAGTATCTAGTGTCCCTGAAGGCTTAGTTCTTCTTATACTGAGGACCAGATTCATCTTCCAATTTGTTTTCTATTCTGTCTGGGTGAAAAAGCATTGGCAGACACTGTACAAATTGGAGAGAGGTTTGTAGCCAGGTAGAGAAAGAAAATATATTGATGAAGCTCAGAAAGAGATCTCGCTGACTGGGAGACAGAGTGGGGAATTCACCAGCCATCAGTTTGCTAGGCACAGCTGATCTGTGCATTTTTGTTATTACTAGACTAGAATCTTTTTTCTTTCTCTCTTTTCCTTTCTTTCTTTCTTTCTTTCCTTCTTTCTTTTTCTTTGAGACAGGGTTTCTCAGTGTAACAGTCCCAGCTCTCCTGAAACTCTATAGACCAGACTGGCCTCGAACTCACAGAGATCCACCTGTCTCTGTCTCCCCAGTGCTGAGATTAAAGGCGTGCACTGCCACTGCAAGACTAGACTGGAATCTTTGTTTCAAAAGTATAGCCATGTTGCACAGATGTTTGGTTACCCTTGCTGCAGAGAGACTGGCTGGCAAACTACTGTAGCTTTCACCCATATACTAAGTGATCAAGCATGGAGAAATCTCAGAGGTTTGAAATTATGTTCCTATCATTGTATACATTAAAAAGTATTTGCTTCGTGGGATTATTGGGAAGATTAACAGAAACAGTATTTACAAGTTACTATGCACAGTGCTTAGCATGTCTAGAGTAACCACTGAAAATCTAACCATTTGCTTAAGCATTATGTAGGCTTACTACAAACCACCAAATAACTTTCCTTTTAGCTCATTTCACTGCATCCCTACTGAGCACAAACCTTCCATTTTTTTTCACTTAGTTAACCATCTTAAGAAAACTAGTAGAGAATAAATGATTCATAATGGTAGAATCAGGAGGGTACATACACCTGAAAACCCAGTATGGAACCGAGACTTCCCATGTAGCCCTGCTTTCCTGAGATCAAGCTGAGTGGGGACCATCCTCAGCACTGGTTCTTAGTCACATCCTTCTTATGACTTCTTTCGGCTTCCAAATGAACTAGCATTTGTTGTTAAAGGGACTAACTGGGCTTCTTTTTCTACATTCTATTCCCTGTATTCCAAGTAGCACAATTTGTTTGGTTTTATTTTCAACATCAACTTAGGGGGCTGGGGATGTGGTTGAATAGTAAAGTACTTGCCTAGCATATCTGAGTCTTGTGGTTCAATCTCTAGCTTATGGCAGAAAAAAATCAGATTTAATGCTGGTTCCCTCAGCTTCATCCCACCCTATTATTATTATTTTCCTTAATATTTAGGTTTCACCTCCCATTTAAAAGCTTTTGAGTTGGGGCTGGAGAAAAAGGTTTTGGATTAGGGGCACATACTGCTTTTGCAGAGGACCCAAGTTTGGCTCCCAGAACTTACATGGCAGATCACAAAGGTCCCTAACCTCAGTTGCAGGGGATCCAACTCCTTCTTTTGGCCTCCTCAAGTACCAGGCACACATCGTATGAAACATTTAAAAAATTAAAAAAACAATTTTGAGTGACAAAATTAGGTGTTTAAGATGGGAGATTAAAGAAGTCATGGCAGAGACTTATGCCATACTTAATGTTAAGCAGATTGTATTATTAGTGAATATGTATTTAAATCCTATAAATATCCAGTCACCACACAGGCAATAATGATTTACTCTTTTAGATTCAAAAGTCTTAATTTTTCTGATACTGGTCTATTATATTTTCACTTTTGAAGGCAAAAAACAGTAGAAATTTAAAACTGTATATGACTGCTTTCTTCTTAGCAATCATCTCTGAAAATGTTTGCAAAAGAAAACAGGAAGTCCAACGACTGTCAATGATGTTGTGGGGAACAAGGGAAGCTAAAGATCAAAGAGTTTCCTGGCAACAGCTACCAGGTAATGAACACACATTACTCATCTTAGTTAGATTTCTATTGCCATGCTCGAACACAGTAACAAACAGGGAGAAAGGGTTTATTTCATCTTACATTTTCAGGGAATGGTCTTATCACTAGGGAAAGTCAGGGCAGGAACTCAAACAGGGCAGGGCCTGGAGGCAGGAGCTGAGGCAAAGGCCATGGAGGAGTGCTGCTACATACTAGCTTTCTTATACAACTCAGGACCACCTGCCCAGGGGATGTACCACCCACAGTAAGCTGGACCTCCCACATCCATGAAGAAAAATGTATCATGGGCTTGCCCACAGTTAGTCTGTGGGCATCTTTGTAACTGAGGTGCCCTCTGCTTAAATGATTCTGGTTTGTGTCAAGCTGGCATAAAATTAGCCAGCACACCACTGAAGGACTTTCTGAATTCATCCCTAAGAGGTAGACACTTTTTATACCTATAGACTGTCCAGCGTATACAGCTAGTAAGATTCACACAGAGGCAGTCTGGCAGTCTTAGTCACTAAGGTGCCTGTCAACTCAACAGTTCAGTTCTTCTTGAACTGTGCTTTTTGGTTTTCCTTCTTGTTTTGTTTTATGAGATAGACTCTTACATAGCTCAGGTTAACCCTGAAGCTGAACTCCCTATCCTCCTGCTTCTACCTCGTGATTACTAGGATTAAAGACGTACTGCCACTCCTGGCCAAACTCTTCCTTATGTTCTTCACATACAATTCTACATGTCACAGATGAGAACTATTACTGTAACAGATCCATAGGTCAAATTGGCATTGGTGTACTCTCAGTGACTAATATTTTTAGGTAATTCCTGGCAACTTTTGGTTTAGGAAGTACTGACAAAGGAAAGAGTTGTTTATAGGATTTTAAAAAGTATGCTACAGAAGTTGTTTGAAAGTAATCCAAACCCTTTCTCTAAGACTAGCATTTTTCACTCTCTGTAATTAGCTCAAGATTCCCCTCCCACCTGCCACCTGCCACCCACCAGTTATCTGTTCAGCACCTCGCTCATGTCAAGAACAGAGCAAACACAGGGGAGGTGGCAAACACCTTTTACTCCTCCAGCACTCGGGAGGCAGAGGCAGGTGGATCTCTGTGACTTCCAGTTCAGCCTGGTCTAAGTTCCAGGACAGCCAGAGACCCTGTGTCAAAACAAACAAATAGACAAAAACCAAACCAAAGCAAAGGAACAGAGAAAGCCTGAAGGAACACTTCAGGAGCACATTGGTCCTCACCCTGGAAGAAGCTGTTGTAGTAACATTTCTATACAGCAAAGGACAAACTTACCTGATCCAAGTCATTCCGCAGAGCAATTTTGCTTGTCACTAGTTCATGGGCAAGATCATCATTCTCTTGTTCCAACCTCATGCTGGCTTCCTGTAATCTTCTGTTCTCCCTCTGCAGAAAAAGAGCAACAGCGAGAAGGACACATTAGTGCCTGAACATACAAGTAGACACTGGTGGGGGGTGGGGAGGGGGCAGGCAACAGCAACAAAGTGAGCTCTCAGGTGTAAAAGAGAAGGCACAGTGGCACAGGAAGGCAGGCTGCTGTCTGGGAAACCACAGTGAGTTTAGCCAGCAGTGCGGATGCGACTCTACCGGTGAAGTTTAACAACCATCGCCTAACTCCATTAGGTAAGACAGAACTTCATCAGATAAGCCCCTCCACAAAGAGCACGGTTTCCAAATGTGCTCCCAATTATGGGAGGTTTTCACATAGACCTAGAACACAAACAATTCTTGTTTGAAACATGCACAGTGTGACCTCTAGAGAAATAGTTCACAAGACCCAACAGGGATGATGCTGGTCATTTTTTCCCCAAATTGTTTCTCTAAGATGCGGGACCAAATTAATTGAAGCTGTTTAAAAACAGTCAACATAAAATCAAGATATGTGGGTTCAAAAAGAAAAAAGAAGACACATGAGTTTGTGATTCTCTACCAGCTGATCGTTTTATTCTTTCTTTAAGATATATTTACTTCTGTATATAATGTTTTTGTGTTACTGAAAGCAATGAGTCCTGAAATGTATTTTCTATTTTCTTCAAACTTCAGATTTGATTCTGGATGAAAAACAATATTAAGTTGTTTTTCTCCCACTTTGCGCTCTCAGGAAAAGTTTAAGCTATGATAAATGAATCAAGTGACTAACTGTTAGGAAGCAAGACACCTCTTGGCTGCCACTGTGAACCGAGTATGCATGTCTATTTCAGAATAGCACTTAGTATCTTATATCACATGCTATCAAAATGTTTTCTTTGCTACTATTGCTTGCAGGAGACTCTAAAGGGGACAGACAGGAAGAGTTTCAGGGTAACAGGCTCTTTCTGGTTTTAGATGTACACCTCTGTCAGTGTTTTCTCAGAGTGGCAAACACACAAAGCACTGCAAAAACACAGAAGACACATGTATGTTCTGGAAGATGGTACCGCATGGCATACTAGAGGTGGGGATTAATTTCACCTTTTGCCGAATAACCTGGTGTTTGTTACATGACAGAGAACCCTAATCCCTAATAACCCACTGCCCTCTCCATTTCTGAATCGGGTCCATAAAACAGACAGTAAGAGCAAGGCCTGATACTTTCATAGAGCCTGAGGACCTGTAAACAGGAAAGTCAGCAGAGAAGCTGAAGGATAGCCTTACACTTTGACAATATCTTTTCTTTTGGGAAAAAAATTAACAGAGACAGTTGGTGGATTTAAAAAAAAACCTCTTGCAAAACAGATATACTAAGAAGCAAAAGAGAATTCAAAATTTCTCAAATACTATTAAGAAAATTCATGATAGAATTCCATATATTAATACATATTAGAGAAAATTTTCTAAAAATTGCTAGAAAATCTAATTTTTATAACAATATGAACAACAGTTATTAGCTTTAGGCAGTGGGTTAGTTTTGGCATTATCTTTCTCTTCTTCAAATTACCCCAGGTTTTCTACAATGAATATAATACAGTTACAATAATCTTTTAAAAACTTTTGTTAAACCCCTTCAATTCAGAATTTTAATTCTACTAGAGGTGATAAAACACTAAAATGAGGAGGAGGAGGAGGAAGAGGAGGAAGATTTAAACCTACTGTTAAACAAGATCATTTTCTGCACAAAACTACACTGGATCTTTTCCAGTGAACAAGACACAATGTAACAACTGAGAAGTTCTTCTTTGCCCTATTTGTTTCTGGATAGACAGTGTTCCCTGGATAGATAGGGCAACTCGTATTTGTCAAAAGTCTGTGTTCTTACAGCTCTACTCTCATTGAAGTACTCAGGTAACACATAGGAAAAAGGCCCAAGGAACCAGATTTCTGCCAGGGGCTGGAGTGTTTGTATTTCTGATACATCTATTACTTCTTTTTGAAATTATTCATGTACTTGCAGAAAACTCAGATTTTTAAAAACATATTTCAGAAGCTTTCTCAATAAATGTCTCCTTGCCAGAAAGCAACAGTACCCAGCATGATTTCAACATCACATATCACACAAAACAGACTGCTTGGGTGGGGAAGAGATTTTTCTCATTTCTTGATAAATCCCTTCAAGAGGCCAAGATAAGACTTCACCACCTGTTTCTGAGTTACACATCCTGCTTCTCCTGAGACTGTGCTCCCAGAATTCAAAGATAGAAACTGCTTTCTCAACTATTATTTACATCATATTGATATGCTACCAGTTTTTCAGGTTGCTGCTATTGTGTTGAGAAGTGCATTAACCTCCAGGTAGTCATATGATGCCCATGGGAAAGTTACTTAAGTATTTAAAAGTAGCACCAGGTAGCAACTTTACTCTCAATTAGAAGCACAGGTCTGATGGATTACAGAAGCAAGCTGTGAGTGAGCACAGCTCAAATTCTGACTGGGAATTTCTCATTACTGATGAAACTTGAACCCTTCATCAGACACACAACCAACGGGGTAAGAACAAAGGGGACTCTGAAGAGCTAAGTGTCTGAAAGTCCCTATGAAGCAGACTGGCCCGTGAGGCATGCCTACTGGCTTTTGCTTTAGCAAGCAGCTTCAGTTTGGTGTCTGCAAAGCAAGCGGCACAGTGGGAAGTGTCAAATGCCTGCTCTGCACTCACAGACAAGGGAAAGCAAGCTATGGAGCCAAAAATGCAGTATCCTCCTCCAGAGGGCAATTCCGGCTACTGAGGTGTCCTCCTGCCATGCCAGAGGCATGGAGTATAACTGGGTGCTTTGCTGCTGAGACAGCGATTTCCTGTGATGAACATGCCCAAACATACCAAGGATTAGAACATGGTACAATGCTTAGGTTGTCTTTTCTAGTCTTTCCTAAGGAGCCAGAACTGTTTTCAGAGCTGACTACTTTGAAAAAAAAAGTTTTCCTTAACATTACACTGGGGACAAAGTTGGGTTTGATAGTCTTAGTTCTTTTCAAACCAAGGATCTTCTGGAGAGAGAGACCATGAAGTAAGCTGGGTAACTTCAGTTAGTGCAGATATCCACATAGTAGATGTTAATAAGGGTTATATGTGCCAGCTTCTCAGATCCTGGAAACAAGTCAGGCAGATGGCTCTCCTGGCCTTTCAAAAAAGATTACAGGAGGCATAGCTTATGTAACCTGCACATCACACTTCTGAAACATGCTCCATCTCACACAGCTGACACCATTTGAACGAAAACCATACAACTTTCCTCAGCCACTCCCTCCCTTCCTGCACAGGATTTATACAGCTGGGAAAGTTTGGTTAGTAACTTTAAGGAGGACGATACTGCATTTTTTCAGAGACAGACACTAATACAGACACACACAGATTGAAAAAAAACCAACTTACCTCCTCAAAGGTCATAGACCAACTACCGTTTTCAACCATAGGTACAAAGACAATTGAAAAACAAAGAGGAATATCCAGTGAGATTGCACACCTACTAATAATACATGTAGGAAATGGCAGTAACAGAAACAGACACTTGTTAATATTCTCACTGTTTGTTCAGAATGTCATATCGTGAAGTTCTCTCTGTGACTGCAAACATTCAATGGAAAAGTATACTCCAGGCAGCCAGTGGGCAAGTCTGAACTCAGGAAGACTCCTCCCTCCGCACAATGTTATTTGCAGTTTGCATGACTTATGGAGATGAAAATGCCGTGTGTGGAAATATTAGCAACTACAGATGACTTGTTGATTCTGTGTTAATGCTAGGTGGGAGGGCCTGCCTCATAGGACAAGATCAGAAGCCTTGCAGAATATTTGTCTTTGAAATTCCTAAGCAGGGGAAAGCAAATGGAAAACTGTGCCTGGTTCCTGTTTATTTCTGGGGGTGAAGTTCTTGGGAAGCCATCTAAGGGATGGGTGAGGAGAAACCAAAGAAATGCTGGTTGGCAAGGAAAAGAAAATGAACTCAGCTTTCAGGGAAAAAATGATGCAGAAGGCCATGGCTATGTAACCACCCAATATTTTGGGTGTGTTGTCTGCTGCTATGAGGAATTCTTGGCACATGCTTTAAAAATATTTAAGGGTCCGGAGAAAATGTTTCACTCATAGGCTCAGTACAATTTTATTAGCAACAAAACCATTAACTCTTGAAAGTTTTATTTTGGACACTTTTTAAAATTTTACTTTTTTATTTGACCTGGCATTTTGCCTGCATGTATGTCTGTGTGAAGATGACAGATCCTCTGGAACTGGAGTTACAGACAGGTGTGACCTGCTATGTGGGTGCTGGGAATTGAACCCAGGTCCTCTGGGAGGGCAACCAGTGCTCCTAACCACTAAGCTATCTCTCTAGCCCTTGGATATATCTTTTAAAAAAGTTTATCATCATACCTAGATTTTTAAAAAGACAGTTTTTTGATCTACAAAGATAAATGACTACAGATTTAATACTTAGATATTTATTTCACCTATAAATGAAATCCAAGAGAAACCTCTGGATATTGGAAACTACTTAATGCTTTCTTCCTTTTCTCATCACATTCAATTTTACCTTTTTATGGCAATTTAAACATTTAAAGTGTCAAAGTAAGAACAAAATTTGTCAGAAATAACTATAGGTGGGAAAACACACTGCATTTCTTTACGTATTAAAAACAAATGAAACTCCTGCAAACTTAGGTGATACTTCAGCAAAGGAGATTAAACATCTCAGCACATTTCCATGCTGCAATGAAGGTCCCTGTGCAGAAGTAGCCATGGGCAAACAATAACACAATACACCAGTTGTCCAGATTTGCAAGCCACTGTGGCTTTCTACTCTAGCACACAGATTAAATTGGGCTACGCATTGAGTTCCCAGACTAGCTTGTGTGAGTATGAGACCCTGTTTTCAAAAATAACAAACAGAAAGTAAATAGTTAGAGATGATATAGAAACATATTATTGTCATACAGTTTCTCAACAATAAGAAAAACATTGGCGGATCCTAGAGATCAATGAC